AAGCAGATTAATATAGACATGAAAATGTGTCTCTTCAATAAAAGCACTGAGTTATCAAGATTAATACTTTTGTGTCATAAGAGCAGTAAAAGAAGGCATCTGGATGGGTTTTCTTCACATTTAGAGGGGTGTTTGGGATTATAAGATTTAAAATAAATAGTATGTGGCTTGGGGGAGATTCTCCGTAAGGCTGAATCGGAGATTTGAGAGATTTGAGCAATTGCCAAGTAGGAGAGGTAAGCTTTGTGGATAAAGATGCCTTTAGCAGAGAATCCAGGCAATGGTTTCAAGTATGAGTCCAATATTAAAAATTCAAGTGTAAATGTTCCAAATGAGAACGTTGGTTTTCAATCAAGGTACATCTTGAATGGAAGACTCCATAAAGCAGGTTCAGAATGAATAGCAAATAGAATTCATTTTTTAAAGATCAGGAAGACCAATCAGTAATAGACTCAAAGAGAACAAAATCTACATACTGAACTTAATATCATTTAATATAATATCATTCCATTATAGACAAAAAAAATCATACCTCAAGTGATGGTCATGTTTCCATAGTATTTTATTCAATAGAGGTTACTACTTACCTTCAGACAGAATTGTTCTGAAATTATCAAGGGCTTAAAAAGATTAACAGAGAGATAGTTCTTCTAAGATAGGCTGTTGGAGGTTCAGACTTATGAGAAAACAACTTATGGTCTTAGCTGGGTTCTGGAAAGATGAAAAGAATTTAGTAAAGGGATAACTCTTACACAGAATCCAATTCAAGATAGAGGGAAAAGGTAAGAAAGAGAATGACTGATTTTCCTATTTCCCATTTCTCTCCATGTGTGGAGTTCCACATCTCACTGCAAAGTGGTATAGACCAAGGTGCAATGAAATCAGAGCCTTGTGATCAATTTGACCTTGATTCGTAAGGGGCATTGAAACACTCAGCCCATCTGACTGCCACTGCTAACTGAGTGACTGATTAACTAAGAGATGTTGTTTCATGATTTCCAAAAAGCCCTAAAAGAAAACTAAGATGGAGAAGAGGCAGAAGGAAACTTTCGGTGAATGAAAAGAGCTTCAATTACTAGAATATTTATTTTCTGGAGCGGGATCTGATATTGACCTTGGTAATTGCCCTAGGAATTAAGTAATAGATTTTAGAAATAATCTTTTTCTCCATTTTCCAAGGTCATAGCAGTGACTCATCTGAAAATACTAACCACTCATTGCCTGAAAGATTATAACAGTTGGATTTCAGAAGGGATTTTCAATTTTGTATAAAACGTCTGCATCGTCAGAGTCTGATATCTCTTGTTTGGTCTTACCTCATTTTTTTTTTCAAGTACTGCATTTTATCTTTTTTTGCAAAGTCATCCTGGAATAGTCTTTGTGTAGAACAGGATAGAATTTTACTGCAGAAAGGGACCTGAGAATCCCTCTGATGTCCCCTTTCCCTCACCATAATTCTAGAGATGAAGAATGGAGCCCCAAGAGTGTTGGTCTCTCATGATTAGCTAAAGGCAGTGCTGCTTCTGGATTCCACGTCTCTTGCCCTCCAAGGCTTTCACACCTTCCCAAGTCATCACAGATTAGTTTGGGATCAAAACGTTTCGTTCTTTAACTCACCAGGAATTTTTTTAGTAGCGTTCGACTGTTCTTTTGTTATTTTCTCTCTTATAGCCCTAACATTAAGATACAGTTTGGGGAAAAGTGGATCTCACTACTGACCCTTTGTGGCAGTAAGAGAAAAACATTTTTAACAGTGAAGTTTGAGATTTGAGTGTTCAGTGTTTCTAATTTGATGCTGTCAATAACACTGACTTCTACTAGTTATTTAGCACATATGAATCATGTTATAATTTCAAAATACTTTTCTATCAATAGTAACTCCTTAGCATGAACCAGGCTAGACTTATTATTTCCTCTTCCCCAAAACATCCTTCCTGATCACATCATATTTGATAAATATAGGTAGTTGCCCAGATGCTTAGCTGTTTGAACTCCTGAAGTCTGCATGGTGCTAGACTAAAGCTTTAGATTAAGAATAGGGACAGTCTTACCTCTGGGGTTTCTGGTTGCCAAGGGCAAGGTTGGGGATGGGCATGGGGGATTTGGGAAGAAGATGTAGGAGGATAATCTGCATTCACTGATGGCAACTAAAGAGTCTATAGGCATTGCAGTTCATGCCTAATTCTAAGAGTCTTGGGAGATCCTGCTTCATCCTGGAAGGATGAAGGTGGAGAGAAGGGCCATTGGCAGGGTTCATTTCATCCTTGACTGACGCCTCACCTCAAGGAGCAACAGTTCAGATTCTTAGGGGGAAGGGATCACTTTAGATCAGCAACACACCAACACCGGTCTGTTCCTAGCTGCTGTTGATAAGACGGGACACCTTGTGTGTGCCCAATGGCAGACTGATTCTGAGCACGAACCCAGAGGCAATTCCAAAACTGGAATGAGAATAAGGCTCTCCTTGGGCATGATTCAAATAGAAAAGCTCTTTGAATCACAACATTTGAATCTGAGTCACTCGCCAGTCTTTTCTTGGTCCTGTAAAGGCAATTTAAGCACTGAGATCTAAACCAGGCTTTTTGATTCTCAGCCTTTCCCCTCTCAGCGACCTTCCATCTCAGCCACCCCAGGGGAACAGTAAGATGTCTTTTAGGCATTGATTTTAAAGAAAGACCACTTTATACAAGCAGGTTTAGGAGGATTTGAGGGCTTGGAAGAGTCACCAGAAATAACTGTCAGTTCTTGCTGTAAAGCTATCTCTGCCCCTGGGACACATGGCCTGCCAGATGGCCCCATAAATCCGATTACCCTCACCTTTCCTCTGCCTCCTTCCATGTTAAAACTCTCCTGATTTTCTTACTTACCAGCAATTTCAGGAGAGTTAAGACAAATGAAACCTAACAGTAGTTCTGACCCTCCGTCACCACTAACGCACTGATGATGCATCATCACGAATTATATTTTTAGAGATTCGCAAGTGTTATATTGGGCTGGCTCATATTTAGGTCATCCTCTCTACCTTACCCCCCAAATCCCTCTGATTTTTAAAAGACCTGAGAGTCTACAACCATACTTGGGAGAAATCCTTAGTCACCTAAACTTACATGTCTCATGCCACTGTTTAATTCTGTTCCCTTTACTTCCAAAGTCCTGCCTCATGGACCTTGTACTGTCATACCTGAACTTCATGCCTATAGGAAAAGCTGAATGTAAGATCCTAACTCACCTTTTAAAATCCTTTCTTAGTTTCAATCCCTTTATTAGCTTCTGTGTCCCACATCCCTGTTTCCACTGTCTCCCTCTCTCTCCCCATAAAATCTCAGAACTTCAGGTTAGAGGAGGGGTATGGTTGGTCTGCATCACTTAGGGTCTGACCTCTCTTCTGTAGAACAGCCATTTATGAAGTATAGTATCTTCTGGAGCTTTCCTTCCTTCCTTCGCAGCAGCTCCTTCTCCAAGCTGAACCAGTCTAAGAGTTCTGACCTCTTCCTAACATCATATTCCACCTTGTGTCTCATGTCTCTCACTATTCTAGTTAAGAAAGTGGACAGATTGGGCATTATGGTAAGAGGGTGTCAAGGAGCTTCCATATATTTTTGCATTATAATAAAGTGTGTGATTAAGTGTATACTTAAGGGTCAAATTCTGGCATAATTCTCTCCCTTCTACTCAGAGAATTCAGTGGTCTTATGGTTCAAAATGGTTGGTTGCTAAAATCTGATGCTGCTATTGAACATTCTGGTTTGATTGCTTTGAGCAGAGATTACATGCTTCTTTAACTAAAAAAGTAACAAATGGAAACAGAGAAAAGGAGTTTGAAAGGCTGGGACAGTTAAAAAAGCAATAGAGGCTTGAAAGGGAAAACTTTAAGCTAAGGAAACAGCACAAAGTGCAGATATATAACAGCAATGCCACATGAAAATATAAGGGGTTATATATGGATCATTCAGAGGAAATTTTCTGAAAACAACTCTCTGGTTAGCTAGATCTTTGGGTTATTGGAGGAGGGGGAAATACCTAGACAAGGAAGGAAAACAGTCATCTGGTGTCACCATTGTATCCTGAGTACCTAGCACAGTGCCTGGGCACAGAGTAGCTGCCAGTGAGTATTAGTATAAGAAATGTACCCTGGCCACACTACTCAATATTTTCAAACTGCACATTTCTGTGACACAGTCACTTCCATATCCCATAGGCCCCATCTATGGCAGGATTTGTGGGGAAAATGACCTGACATAAAGGAAAGTATAGGCCATCAATAGGCTACAGTTTATCTGGCTGCATGGGTTGGGGAACGCGAAGAGGAGACAAGTTCAGCTGAGCAAGTGTGAGGCTGTCATTAAGGTGTGTCTTTTACGTTTTTGTCTGTCAGTTTCCTGCCCAACTTCTGTCTCCACCTCGTGGACACGACCGGAGGCCACTGACGAGTTAGCTAGGGTCAGTTTTCAGTGGTTGTCAGAGGGGAATCCTTTGCAGGCGGCAGGTCTCTTGTCCCTTTGGCGTCTCGCCTACATCAGCCGCGCTGCCCCTCGCGCCTCTGCAAAGATGCAGAGGTCGAAGCACGTTGCTGTGCGACGTTTCAAATGGTCCCAGAATCAGCCTCGGCGCCTGGCCCCTAACACCAACCGGGATCCTGGGATCGCCTCTGGGATCCTACTGGGTGCTCCCGCCCTCTCCTGAGGTGCCCCCTCCTCGACTCCAGGCCCGCTTCCCTGGCCCACAGCCGCCACTTGAGAGGCGTTCCTGGGTCGCCGCGGTCCTCCGCGCCGTGGGGTTTCCTGCGTGGAGCTGGGAGGAAGGCGGGAACTGAGCGGGGGGTGGGGGCGGGCGCCCGAGCTTGCGCGCCCCGCTGCCCCGCGCGGAATTTGCCGCCTTCAGCTGCAGCAGCTGCAGCCGCGGCGGCGGGAAGTCGGGCGAAGGGCAGTGAGGAGGGCTGGAGCCCCAGCCAGGAGTGGGGGAAGGAGGGAGGGAGGGGGACCAGGAGGCTGTGCCAGGCGAGCCAGAGGGGTGCTCGGCGCTCCTCCGCCCTCCTTCCGGGAGCGAGGATGCAGACTCTGAAACTGGCGCTGCTGGGCTGAGGCGGAGGCAGGGGAGTTGCAGCGCGCGCGGCACGGTGAGTGTGTCTCCTGAGCGCGGAGAGGCGGGGGGAGGCGGAGGACGAGGAGGAGGAGGAGGGGGAGAATGCCCGGAGCCGCCGCTGCTGCTGCCGCTGCCGCGATGCTCCCGGCTCAGGAGGCTGCCAAGCTGTACCACACCAACTATGTGCGGAACTCGCGGGCCATCGGCGTGCTGTGGGCCATCTTCACCATCTGCTTTGCCATCGTCAACGTGGTGTGCTTCATCCAGCCCTACTGGATCGGCGACGGCGTGGACACCCCGCAAGCCGGCTATTTCGGGCTCTTCCACTACTGCATCGGCAACGGCTTCTCCCGAGAGCTGACCTGCAGGGGCAGCTTCACGGACTTCTCCACGCTGCCCTCGGGCGCCTTCAAAGCCGCCTCCTTTTTCATCGGCCTCTCCATGATGCTCATCATCGCCTGCATCATTTGCTTTACTCTCTTCTTCTTCTGCAACACGGCTACGGTGTACAAGATCTGTGCCTGGATGCAGCTCACCTCTGGTGAATGCGCGCTCGCCTCTGGGAAGGCGGGGGGACCGGGAAGCCCGAACCCGGGAAGGGCGGGAGTAGGAGGGACGGGGACCGTGCGCGTCGTTGGGGGCCCAGCAACTTAATCCGCTCAGGCGGGAGCCCTGGGAGGCCGGAACCCCCGGGGTTCCCCAGCCTGGGCACCAGCGCCTCGTCCCGGGGCTTTCGAGAACCTCCCAGGTGTGGGGGGCGCCACCAAGAAGGACGCGCGGGAGGCAGGGCGGTTGCTGGGCCGAGTCCGCTAAGAACTAAAGATGGGGAGAAGAAGCGGCAGTTTAGGGCGCGAGCTGAGGGACTAGGGAGGGACTGACAGCGCGGCGAAAAGCGGATTTGGAGAGGTTGTAGTGGAAGGAGAGTCAGCCTGCTCTGTCCCTCTCTGGGACTGTTTCTGTCATTGCTTCCTGAGAGTGGTTGGGGATGGGGGCTGGAGTGAGGTTGTTTCTCTCTGTCCTGGAAAGTTATAAAATTTTTATCATCCATCTGGAGATGAATAAATCCATATTCTGTTTTGGGTTTACCCTTTTAAGAAAAATGTAACTTAGAATGTTCCTTAGCAATTCCCCAATGTCAAGGCTTCAGTTTGCTTCCTTGTCAGAGAAAAGGTCCTTCCATTCCATCTTTAAGCAGAGAGGAGTCTTGAGGAAATTAAGAATTCTCAAGGTCTTACGTTTTGGGGAAGAGGCTTTAGGAAGATGGGCAGAGGAAAGCCTGTTTCGTTGGTATCTCTGATCACTCTTTGCCCGTGGCTAGTAGATTGTTGCTTGTTGGAGAATATGAAAGTACTTTTTCTGAGCATCAAAGTTACTTTCAACCCAGAAAGAATGGAGATACATTTCCTGGTAGCCTTGGAGAGTCCTGAAACAAAAACAGACTCTTTTCTCTACCTCGCGTGATCCCAAGTACCCTTTCTGCTAGCCACCTTGGATGCCTTGCCTTCTAAAGGCAGACTCCATCCTCAGACACTCAACACTCCCCTGTTCTAATGTTGGGGTCCTTTTGATTTTATGGATGGTCTGGTAGTACAGGAATATAGGATGTCTCAGGCAGCCACATATTTCTCTTTTGGGTTTTATTTTGTTCTCTTTCTTTAAAGGTGTTAGCATCAAGATTCTGTAGTTTTTCCTATGCCTGGGGAGGTTTTCTAGGGAGCAGGGATTTGATCCTGGAGTTTACCAGAGTGTTACAGGATGATTAAGTCCGTAAAAATGCCAGGCAAGCACATTAAGGTTCATGATCTTATACTGCTAGTTTAATATGAGAGAAGCTTGTGGAAGAATGAACTTGTTTGGAAGTTGTATTAAGTGTATCTCAGCAGTTTTTAATTTGCTGTGAACATGTGCAAGTGAAAGGCAAGAAATGTACATCAGCAGAGACCCTCCCCCTCCTTGCCCCCGCCATATACCATTATTCTCCTGGATAATAAGAGTTTTCTGCTCTTCCTTACACCCCAATTTCTTGAAGCACCCTCCCCATGTTTTTATAATGTTAACTTTTATAGCCATTTCATGAGCAGACTAACTTTGAGATTTGAATTAAATTCATGTATTATTGTTGTTCTTGACACTTTTCTCTGTTTGACTTTGAAGACAACAGGACACTGAGGATGCAGATGTTTTAGAAAAAGAATTGACCCTGCATAGCTAATTTTAATTTTTCTAAGTTAAATGACCTATTTAGGCTGATTCCAATTAGATTGTTTTTCAAAGGTCTGAAAGTAATTTGCAGGTGATTTCTCAACAACATGTTACTAGATGTTTGATTTTTATGAGAATTTATACTCTAAACCCAAGTTCTTGTTGTTTTTAAAAGGTAAGAAAGGAAACTATCTTTGGAAAAGAGTTACCAGCTTTGAAGTTAATATAAATATCAGAAAATATCACAATGGCTTTTTCTTTCTCTCTTTCTGGATTGAGCACACAATAATCATTTATTCTGGGGTAGTGAAATATGATGTCATGTTTTCAGAAATTTGACATAAATACGCTATCCTGTTTCCCACATATCAGTGTAAAATGTGATCATAGCCTTTGTATTGGTGAAGATATAAGGACATTTACTTCATTTTTGGAGAAGTCCAGATCCTTAAGTTCCTGGTATACTTTTGGAAACCTTCATTTGTAATTTATTTGGTATTTTATTTCTAGGAAAACCACGGAAGGACATAATTTTATTTATTAATGAAGTATATTGATTAAAGAATTGATTATGAATCAAATTCAGTTATATTAAGAATTAAAGCCAGTTATAGTCACAGATTTTTAAGGGATGGGATAAAGGATATTTCTGAAGAAAGTCACATTTATCATGGTTTTCAGTTTTTTTTAAGTCTCATGACACTAATAACAGATTCAACATAATGTACTGTAAGTTACTTTCAAAGTTTAGTTTCTAACCTTTAGACTATTGAAGGCTTCTCATAATTTAACTGTACCTTGGCTTCTCGAGTGTGATTTGTTAACTATTAAAGATGAGACTTAATGTGCCATTTGCTAATTAGAGACTGTTTAACCTTCATTGAAAGTCAAATGATTAAGTTGTGTATTTAGTTATCTAAGCATTTTAATATAGTAACATCAGAGATCCTAGCCAGGTAGAATATAAAACCCCTTATGAAATGATACACTAAGATGATGAGGCAGGAGACTTTCTTGTGGCAATACAACATCCAGAATGATTCTTTTTATGATTCTGAACAATGAACTAGAAAAAGTGCATAATTTATTGGTCCTAAAAATGATGTTGCTCTCTGGTTGTGGGAAGCACACATAATTAATGGTGCTATTATGAACACCTGCCCTCTCGCTTGTGCTCTCCCCTCTGAATCATCATTAACCTCAGCAGAGTGAAACTACAGAATTGGGAGCTAAAATGTCACACTTCTTCCAGATGTAATTCTGTACTTAATGGACCATGCCGAACATAAAGACTGACGACATAAAAATAAGGTGGAAAATAAATAATAACAATTACAGATGCGAAATTTCCCCCATCGACAGAGAGACCACTTCTTGAGAAAAAAAGAGAGACTTTTCTTCTTCGTGTATAATTTCTCTCACACTAATAAGAAAGAAGTAGATCTGTAATTGGTCAAACAGGGCAATAAAGTTCAGATCCTTTTTTGAAAAATCAGAATTTAAAAGGGGGTTTTGTCTCTCTGGGAGCTTGATTCTCTGCTTTCATGTGTTTGTTTTCAAATCAGTTTTTCGATCTATTTCCAAGTCTATTAATAGCCAAGTCTCATAAAGGTGGGTTTTTGTTTGTTTGTTTTACTGACTATAAGCCCTATCTTAAATTGTTTCCAGAAACCCAGGTGTTAACCATTACAGGCCAATGAAGTCTTTTCTTTTTAAAATAAGCTGGAGCATTAAGGCAGGATTTAAGGTTTTTAGACATCTACCCTGGACCTTTTGGTCGAAGACAACAGATGAGGAGGTACTTGCATTCATCTGTGTAGAAGGAGCACGTGATCCAGGTTGGATTTCCATATTCAGGAGGGATAAGATAGGAGGAGGGGGTTGCATTCACCAGCTCCCACATCTCTAGTCGTTTTGAGCGTACCAACCAGAAGGGCCACCCAGATGGCAAGGCTCTATGGCAAGGGTTAAGGTCTGAATTGCTTAGTCACTTCTCCTGGCTTCCCAGCCTTAGTTTTCCCCAGCTCTTTTCAGCTAGCTTGCTTTCTTAAATTTTGTACCTTTGTTATTTAGGTGAAGTGAGAATCACCAGGGGTAATTACTGCATTTCTTAGCCTGCAAGAAGAATCTTTGCAATGTTATACCATCCTATCTCAGAACACCATGCTCTTTTCTTGTATATCTTATCAATATTTAAGATTACAAATGTATTTAATGTCTGCCTTTTTCAGTACATTGAAAATTCTGTAAGTCTACGTCCGTTGTTCTTCATATAGCATAGAGGTCAAGTTAGGGACACTGGAGTAAAAAGAGGTGGGTTTAACCCTGGCGCTGACACTCATTGACTTGTAACCTGGGGAACTGATCTCTCTGCACTTCAGTTGCTTATCGCAAAGTGAGCTTATAATTGTACTTACCCTAGGAGGTTGGTGCAAGGATGAAATGAGTGAAGATATATAGAAGAATGGTGTTCAGCACATAGTAAGCAAGCACTATATGCATGTTAGGTATGGTTACTGTTCTTAGGTTATTATCACTATTGTGTCTTGGCACTCAGTAGTATGTATATGTCTGGCACATAGTAGGTATTCAATACATTTTTGTTGAGTTAATCGATAAAAAAATGAATGATTCATGAGGTGAAGAATGAAAAGAGAAAGAAGTGATTTAAAATGTCCCACATGCCATGTTAAGAAGTGAATACCATATACTTTGAAAGCCACAATGCTCATCTTTTTCATTGGTTTGTGGCATCAGCTGTGATTGCCTAAAGGAACTCTTCCAAATCCCTTTGATGGCAGTGGTTGTGACTTGACCACTTAATTCATGATGAGCTTTTTTTCCAAATGGAGGCTTTTTCTGATGCATAAGTGATGATGTTTATTATAATGCTGGGATATCATCGGTTATATCTTAGGATTCAGCAAATTTTCCCTTACCTTTTAGATTCTTGTGAAAAAAATCATGGTATTCAAAATAGAGGTTTTATGTAAGAATCAAAAGATCAGGCTTTCTTTCTTAATAATGGGACTCCCGTTCCAGGATGCATTTCCTTGCACGCCTTCAGGAGCAGTTTGGACAGGAGAAGAGGATGTGCCTTCCAGGCTTTCCTTTCTTCTTTCTGGCCATCAGTGTAGATGTGCTCTTTCTGGACTTGCAAAGCCTGCTCAGATGTGTGGCCCTGCATGTGCCGGGCTCTGCTGGGGGCTCTGAAGAGAGGACGAGGTCAGGATTTACTCAAGTTCCGGACCATCACCAGTTCTTACCATGTGACTGGTGCGGAGCACATGAGAAAGGCAGGCCTTGCCTCTTAGAGCTGCGAATCCATCTTGAGTTCAG